GACTTTTAGGTATTGATTCTCTCCAAATGTCGGCTGCCGTTGTGGGATAATTAGCAATGTTAAAAAAGCAGTAAATTTATTTGCGCGACGTTTCAGACTCCCACTCTAAACCACCGTCGGAAACAACGGCGGATTCAGCAGTCTTCATTGTCCGCAACGGCCACAAAACAATTAGCAGCTGTCGCGGTCAGCGTTGGGTGTCGTAATTGATGTGATAGTGACTCGGCAGTCAGTTGCGCAGTCGTTAGTTTTCACACTAACATCCAGCACAGGTGACAAAATCTCGGCAATAAGCGACACGGAGGCGGATAGCTAAGCTTTCGTCACATACATTATGTCCCCTCCCTCCAGCAGTGATCGCGTGAGATACTTATTGTTGTGCGCAAGCCGTTGCTTGACCATTACACGCTATACATATTGCTCACCTACGGCCTCTACCACCCTAAAATATTACTGTCTCTGGGTCTGGATTCGTCCGAGGAGCCCAAACGTCAAGCCAATAGCCTTTTTTTCTTTCAGCTATCTCATCTTTCCTTAATGAATTGCTTCCTGATGCACTAACCGGACCTTGACCTTTTACGATAAAACTTGGCACGCGTTAGCCCATGTTCTCCGCAAAACCGGCTCCATGTCTGGCAGACTAAAGATCAAAGATTTCGCCTTTCGTATGGTTTCCGGGTTTAAAGTTACGCTCCTTCATTTATATTCTACTATGATTCTTCCCAGTACCTCCTTATGAATTAAATTTTATTGCTATTCAAAGGCCTTTTTAATATAAAAAAATCTCTATTCGAAATTGGAGATCAGTCTCCTAAATCACATAATTAACAAAGCCTAATGTTTCATCAATGCAAGCCGATCTCATGACATACTCTGAGCCGCTAAAAAACGTTGTTTTTTGCTTTCCAGCAACTTGTGGCTAGTATGCTAAACGTTGATCCTAAAAAGCGACCGACGGCGGCTGAAATTCTGGAACATCCATGGATCAAAAATCGCGCTCACCTCTCTACCTGCCCGCGCTATAACCTTTGTGCTCCTGACGCCCGCACGGTCAAGGTAAGCGTGATACCAGCACTTACTCCTAAGTAGCGTGTAAAGTGCGTTTCTTTTCAAAGAAAGGCCACTATATGTCCTCATGAAGTTGGTTTTAAAACTAAAATGATTTCAGTCTGAAATAGCGAACTGTTGTAAGTGATTGTTTACTATTTGCTTTTTTGAACTGCTCGTTGTTAAGACCGAGTTGAATCTATTGGCATTTTGGAAATTCGCTAACTTTGCGGAAGTGAAAGAATTTCGCTCTTTATGTTTAACCCATAAGTAAATTTCTTCTTAAGACTGGCAAGGTGTTTAGTGAGGAAAATTGGTGTCTTTGGGCAAACGTTTCTTTCCTTTGACAAACAAACTCGAATGCCAGCAAATATTTAGTTGTAGTCGTGTCATGACACTTACCTTTAGAACATTTTAAACTGTACACACTTAAAAGTTTCTCGAATTGTATAACTGTTTAGGGCTCACCTGAGCCTCTGCGACGAGACCGTTGACGGAATGGTGAGTTCTGTTTTGCTATTTGCCTAGGACAATCCACAGGTTAAAAGTGCGCCCTATGTGTGGCTCAGCAACTATTGTGCGAGATATATTTGACCGCAAATGGTTGTGAATGGGCTCAGTAGGTATAAGATCATACTTTTTCAGTGCATGATGGCTTATGTCGTAGGATATATGTGGAGTATATATATATATATTGCTAGTAATATACACATGTTGTACTTTATCATACCGGTAGCCCTGTTACTAGCTAAAAGCCCGGACACGTGTATTATCGGTATGTTGCCGCTGCTTGCGAGGAGTCTGGCTCATCAGTGGATCCCCCAGCTTTTCTTGTTTGCTTTCTGGTTGATACGTGTAGCATATGCAGAAATGCGTTGTCGAGAAGGAAAAGAGTGGCCATTTTGGCCTATTTGTCGTCATTAGCCTCGTGGGTCGCTACCCCTAGCATTGAGTGTGACCGGCTGATGACGGCAAAGAAACCCGAAGTGATTTATCGTTTTCAATGTTCTTGCTTATACCAAATTAGCGGCTGCTGGCGGGGCTCAGAAGTGAGACCCAAGGCGCAACGTGAAGAATGAGTTTCGTAAGCGATCGGTGAGAGCCTATTTGTCATTGCATATACGTATATATTTTTACCTGGTTCCAACTATCGATACGATAAGACAAACCACGAGAACGCACATACGGACCTCAAAGGTGTTCACCTACCATTCTCTCCGTGAACTGACAGTGCACTTTGCAAAAAAAGAACTTTTAAAACTAAACCTGTGGTCGTTTTTTTTCTAAAATGTTGCATCTACTCATATTTATCTTTATCTGACTTTTTCGGGCAGATGAAAACCGCTTTCTCGTTCCTTATTTTATAGTATAAGGCATAAAAATAACGTTTAACGTTCTGTATCTTTCAATGAAGTCCGATTTTGCACAAGTGGTCCTAGGTATCCTTAAATGCGAAGAGTTAAAATAGCCTCGTCTTCACTTAACGCATTTCTGAGCCGAAAATGTGTTGCTCATTACCCCTTACTACTCATGTCAACATTAAATGAATTAAGTTATCTCCTTTAAATACCATGGACTCCGTATTTCCTCGAATCACGCTCATTTCCCTAATTGTGTGAGACATTGTCTTAGGGAACCGGTAGCCATCTGGTTGTCGTTTACTCCCAAAGAAGGTTTTATTTCCCGGAGGTACACACCTATAAGTAGAAAAGAGCATACTCATACACACGTGAGCAAAACTTCGTTTGAAAACGCTGTCCTCAAGGGATTTTGCATATTGGTGAAGTCAACCAATAGGAGCCACGTCACAGTAACATATCTTGAGTATTGGCAGGCAGACCTAAAAAACAGGCACGTTGAGAGGCAATTGTTCGCTCTGATTTCCCGTTATTACGCCAGCAAGTGAAAACGCAAAAGTCTATAAGCCTCTTCTCGTTAGCATTTACGCACACAAGGTCTTGCATGAGCAGTGATGCTCTCGCTTTGCTTGCACTCCCCCCCTTCCCCCATGAGGTCACGTGACGAGGCGTGGCGCAACCAGCTTTTTAAGCTGAACAGTGAAATGTAACGTTGGTCTTTAGTAACCCGTAACTCACTCAACTCTCTCTCAAACTGCATGTGCGTCAGCAAACGTTGTTCGACATTACAGCCTAGTGGCGACTACCGGGCCGGAAATGTTCACAAGCTGTGCTGGTTGCACATTCTGTGACTTTTCCCAAGTTTGGGAAAGATGCGCCACTTCAGGCGATGTTATTGGAATCAATTGACATTCTTAGCAGCTGAAGGAAGGAAGGAAGGTAGAACGTTGAGTTAGAGCATTAACAAGAGTCTGGATATAAGATCCTAGATGCTACATCCTTTGAAATTGTCATAAAATCGCTGCAGTACCTGCTGCCTCTATGGCCATATGCAAAAAAACTTCTGCTTTTCTTTGCGTGAACTTCCCAAAATAAAGCCTGAATGTTTACACTACTCTCATTTTCATCGGGACACGTTTTCTCTACATTCCGTAAAATACATTATTAATGGTCTGATTAGGAAATCAACCCATTTTTGTAACCCATACCTTCAATCATGACGATGGAAATAAAATCTTCAGGCGCTTAGTTTTACAACACAGTTACGCTGTATGCATATGGCGGGACGATTAAGACCCGGAATCGGTCGATGTGCGGCCATCTGCCTTGGCGATGGTGCAAAAACCACGCCCTATCTTTGCCGGAGCGGAGGTTAGTGTTCTCAAGACACTGAGAGCTGACACAAGTCTCACGATTTTACCGAAAAATAAAGGGTGTTCCACAGTTGAGCGACTACGTTCGGAAGGCCAACTCCCTGCTGGAGGATAGGCAGGCGTACCTCTCACGTGGGCGGATGCAACGATGGGGAAGTTGGCGACGCAACTGACCGAGATACTCACCGACATGCAACCAACTAAGGTAATTCATAATTTGGTACAAGTGGTTAGAAAACGAAAAGACGTAGCCGCAGCGAGCGTCTAGGGGGTACCAAAAGTGTGCAAATCTGGTGTCCTCCTCCGGCCAATCGTGTCATTGCGCGACTCACTAACATGTAATCTGGTTAGATCGATTTTGCGAAGTCTGAGGGTGCTAACGCCAGACGCAGCCACGACGATCTGTTCAGCCGCTCAATTTCTGGAGCGTCTCAAGGGAGTGCAACTTACCGAATACGACGTCACGGTGTCATTTGAAGTCACCTCTCTCTCTTCCCCTCTGTCCCACAAGGCCTGTCAGTCGAAATAGCCAGTGAACTTCCCAACGAGCCGGCGAAAAGAAGACTCCATGTCCAACTCCTAAAGTTATGTATTTACAATACTTTACAGTCGAGGGGATTAAGTACGAGCAGGTAACGGTTACGCGAATGACATCGCTGCTCACGAGGTTCATCGCATATTGAGTTGGCCTTAAAAAGGAAATCTATGTTTTCGAAAATTATAAACTCGACTCGATATGTCGACGATAGTTTTTTCACCATCGACATCCAGTTCCAAATGGTGGCTGACATTAAAAATCAACAACTGTTTTTGAGACATTCTCAATGAGGATGTTGATTTGAAATGGCATAGGAATAGCACTGAAATGCACCGCAGTAAGCAACGGGCACGCAACACACAGTTATTTTAGAAAACGATACAGAAGGGCACAAACATACTGTAGTGAACCGGACGAGAAGAACTTAGAATGGTAATACATCCAGCACATTTTCATGGCAAAATGGTAGCAACGATATTCTATCGAACTCGGCAGGTAGTCCAGGTCACACTGAAGTTCGAAAACCAACCAGCGCTTCTATGAATAGATGGCGTTTCCGAAGCAGCCTCCCGCCTTTTAAAACAGCTAAGGGTCGGCCTCGTCCAACGGCTGAAGTCATGTGACCTAACGCAACTCTGGCCGCAAGGTTATCCACTGGGTTTAATGTAATTTCCGTGCAGTGTGAGAAAGCCAGTATCTGACGCGAGAAACCTAGATTCAGGAAAAATCTGTCACCCTCTTCCGTTATGTACCAGATGCTCCGCGCGATGCCAAAAGATAAGCACCAAAGTTAAATCACTCTCCTCGCCTCAGGTTTTAAGATTAAAATATTGGCGCTCACTAAACGGTACGGAGCTCCCCCGCTCCCCAACCCTGCCAGCAGCCGCTACGGGCATGAATACGTTACCGACAAAGACAAGGGAGACCAGGATGGCCGGGAATCGGTGCCCCATCTGAGCTTCAAATCTGTGACCTTGTTATTTAGGTGTCCAATGCTCTAACCACTGCGCCACGTGCTCGTTGTCTTTTTGGCTTTTGATCTGGAATATACAGAGACACGCACACCGATCAGTTGCAGGACACACTCGTCCGTCCCGAATGTCTTTGGGGCTCTCTCTCTCGAACCAGGCCACAAAGCGGTTAATGATACAGGCAGAAGCACATCACCGTCAAAGATTAGGGAAACTAGGATGGCGATTTCTGGCTTATTAGTAATCGTCAGTCAGTCTTACTTGAACCCAGCTGGTGCCCCAGAAATTGATAATGTCCTTATGCCGGCAGCCGCAGAGTGGTTAGTCGTTAAGGGAGGTGAGTACTGGAGCGATGCACTTCTGATCCAAAGTGGTCGTCGGTTTTAGGTTTGGCTGGTGCACCACTTAGCATGGTTAATGACTGGCTGATGACAGCTATGAGTCACAAGTTGTCATTCCAGTATTTGGTATTTGTCTGCAATGTCCATCTACTGAAATATATACATATGTCTTCTAGTATGCAACTTAAATTCGGTTGAAGAGTTGGGTAAACTGTTGGAGGATTGTTTTTGAGATGTTTGCTGCGCATCTGTTTTGTTTCATTTGCCTATTGACCTTCACTGTGAACGTACGGTGTCTGATACTAACGACTCGCAAAAGTGTGCTTTTATTTTGGATACTACGCTCGACCACAAATCACCCGACTCTTTCAGCCGAATTTAGTCCTCGGATATTTTTTGGACAATAAGCGCGCAATAGCCGAATGCAATACTTTAGTCAGCTCAATTATAACCTGTTTAGT